ATCGGCCCTGCTCTGAGCCCTACCAGGGGCTGCACCTAGGGATTGGGCCTGCCCTCTGCCACCTGGGAGCAGGCCTAAGCCAGCAGGTCGTTATCTCCCGAGGGGTCCCAGACTGCGAGAGTGCACAGGCCGGGCTGAGGGACTCCCCCCTCCCCCCCCGAGTGCACAAATTTTTGTGCACCGGGCCTCTAGTATATATATATTTACCAACCATTAGTTTTAACTGCTAGTTTGACTATGAAGACACCCTGCAGTAGGATAACTATGCCATAACCCAGACTAAGTTGACTTGTATAAAGTCTTTCTAGTGGTAACAAATGGATGCATTAATTATGCTGGCCTTTGGTGTTTGTTGATTTCTATCTGAACTCCATTCTTCCTAATGCTCTGCTTTCCTTCTAGCTACACTCCAGGCTTCTCAGATTACCCTCTCACACTTATTCTACTGCATCATTATTTCCATTTCCATTTATTAATTTTCAGTGAATCTCTTAAGCCAGACCTGACATACTTGAAACATGCTTAGTTTATTATTCAGAATTAGAGGCCTGGCACACAAAATTCATGCACGGGTAGGGTCCTTAGGCCTGGCTGGTGATCAGGGCTGATCTGTGGGGCAACCAGCAGGGCAATCAGGGGCTACCGTTGGCACCCCCCTTGGCCAGCCTGGCGCCGCCTGCTCACTGGCCCTGCCCCCCACCACTGCCAATTGCCTCTCTCTGCGGGGCGACTGGTGGGGTGATGGGGGGGCCCCCCCACTGGCACCCTCCTTGGCTGGCCTGGGGCCTGGAGGCAGCTCCTGTGTTGAGAATTTGCCCCCTGGTGGTCAGTGTGCATCATAGTGACCGGTCATTCCGCCAGTCGTTCCACCATTCGGTCAATTAGGCTTTTATTATATAGGATGATAATGCATGTGATACATTTGGCCCAATGCCTCAATAATGTTCGCCATTCACTCAACAGAAGTTAGTGATTTTATTCAAAGAAAATTTACAGTTCTCATCATGACTAGAAATAGCTAACAGTTTGATTAGTTGTTATATGGGCAAGGCAGACATGATTTTTCTAGCTTAAATTAACCATTAAGAATATGAAAAGAGGGGCTTTCAATAGAAGCTAAATGGCCCCATCCATATGAGTCCCTGGTATCCTGGAAGATCTTTCCCATTACTAACAAATAAGGGAGGCCTTAACTAACCTCTCAAAGAAAAGTCCATGCCACAGGAAGTGCACAAAGATGAGCAAAATCTATAAAGAAGTGATCGTTCAGGAGCTGTCCAATACATGCAGTAGCTCGGCTCAGAGCACACCATTCCAGCCAGCAGGTGTTCCAAGTCTCAGGCCATCAACCATGGGCTGTGTATTGTATAACTCCATGGAGGGTTTTTGACTTAGGACTGCTGATTCCCTGACTCATCATGTTGCCTCCAGGTATAGTGGGTAGAGGAACTCCCTCACAGGCTTTGGAGAGAAAGGAATGTGTGCATAACTTCAAGACAGATATTAAAAGCAATTATTTTTCAAATAAAACTTCTGAATTCAAAATTGATACTTCCAAAGGCAAACATTTTAAATTCTTTTTGTGTGTGTGAGCTAATTGGTTGACTGAATTGAAAAGTTATATTCTGGAATTATGCAAAACCAATTGCTTTTGCAAATAGGTTTTCCCATTTATAACAATACCTAGCCCATATTTAATAAAACTTGCTGTTGCAAAGAGTAGCAATGAGAATGCTTGCTCTTATTACAGTGCCTCCCATGGCTGGCTGCACAACAAATGAAGATTGTAGGGTATTATTTAGTAGTGAAGTGCTCCCCCTAGTGAACATAAGTAGGAATTTAAACAAAAAGAGAAAAATCTTGAAAATATTTGTTCCTCTTTAATATTTAAATCATAGAATTAAAATAAGTAGGGCACTAGCTACTTTACTGATTGGTCCTATAAGCTTTGGTGAGGTATAGAGACACATTAAAGTCAAGGCTTTTTAGGCTACTGTAAGGGTTGAGATGTCAAGTCTTTTTAGGGTTTTGACTGCAGCAGGGTCTCTCAACCCTGTCATTATTGACATTGTAGGCCAGACAATACTTAGTTTGGGCAGGGCCATCCTGTGCATTGTAGGATGTTTAGCAGCATCCCTAGCTTCTACCCACTTGATGTTAGCAGCATCTTCTCCCTCCCCCCGCCTCCCCCCCCCCCTCCCCCCCGCACCACACACACACTCCTACCAGTCCTGATGACCAAAAATGTCTTGACATTGATCACCAATTTCCCCAGGAGAGCAATATATCCCTCCAGCTGAGAAGCACTGGAATGGAGGGATGACACAATATGACATCCTTTAATAGAATCACCCCGTTTCTCTGCTGAGAATAGCCTGCAGGGAACAAAAATACCAGACAGGAATGGAGATGGTGAAAAGGGGTCAAATTCTGAATATATTTTGAAGTTAGAACTGACAGAAATTTTGGAAGAACAGATATGGAGACAAAGACAAAGAGGAGAGAGGAGAGACGAGAGAGGAGAGAGGGAGAGAGGGGGGGAAGGGAGGAGGGGAAAAGGAAGAAGGGAGGGGGATAGAGAGAGGAAGAAAGGGAGAGAGGAAGGGGACAGGGCGAGGGAGAGAACTGAGTCAAGGATGACATCAAGGGACTTTAGCCTGAAGAACTAGAACTGAGTTGTCATTAACTGAGATGTGGAGACAAAAAGAGGAGCTGACTTCAGAGGCTTTTTTAGATACCCAAATAGAGATGAAACACAGTTTGGAAATTAGGAGAGAGGTGAGGTTATATGTTTGGGCTGTTGTTATATGTTTGGGAGTCATTATCTTATAAATAATATATATATAAGTTGATCTATGAAGTGAATATATATATATATGAAATTCCAACTATTCAATGTAAGAAATGTGAGAAGAAACCAGCAAAAGAAACTGAGAAGCAGTAAGTACAGTTGGAGAAAAACAGACCAGTGTAATGTTCTGGAAGTCAGGAGCTTTTGCACATAGTTTTTCTCTTTACGTGAAAGGGTTTCATCTTAGTAACTTCCTTCTTAAGATGATCATTTGTGAATATATGCAATATATCATATTTTCTGCAATAACATACTTACCTGGCTGTCTTCCCTAGATTGTGAGCTCCTGAAAATAAAGATCTCTGCATCTTTGCAGCAACCAGCACAATAACTGGCACATATTACATAATACATGTTTAGTTGATACTGAGATTTAATAGGAAATCCACCCTTCTGAAATAAATTAAATCAAGGCTCTCAATTAATTCAAAATTAGCAATAACTCAGACATAATTCAAAAAACTGAGATGTTTAAATTCTGTGTTGGATCATACCATGAAAGGGATACCATTGCTGCCTTGAATTCAAAGTGTCTCAGCTTTTATTTTATGTGTTTGGGACTCTTGATAATATTGTATTTGATAAAAGAAAATCAGATCCATCGCTAATAACTATAAAGCCATTAATTATCCCTAATATTCTATTGCTATCAGACCCATCAGAGACATGCTTGAAAGCTGGAAAGGCGGTTAGCCTACATGTTATCTTTAAATATTTTTAATAGATTAAATAAATGAATCGCCTAAACATATTGTAAATCTACTATGTGCCAGAGAGTACATAAAATACTTTCTATATTAGTGCTTTATCTTATTTAACACTTAAAACTCTATGAATTGTTAATGACACAGATAAGGAAATTGAGACTCAAAGATGTTAATAAATATCCCCCCCCCAAATTAAACATCGCTGAAATACCATATCACATCTGAAAAGTTAACAGTAGTTCCTTAATATCATTAACCAGTCAGTATTCAAATTTCTGGTTGTCATAAATTATAATTTTTTTCAATTTTTAAGTTTCTTTGATTCAAGGTCCAGATCAGTTCGATCATTATGACTGGTTGATATCTCCTAAGTACGTCTCATTCTATAAGTTCCCCTCCATCACTTTTTCCCCCTTGCAACTTATTGAAGAAATAATCATGCCAATTGCATCCCTTCAGTGGCATTTTTGTCCTATTTCCTTGGTAGATGCTTGATCAGATTTAGGTATAATTCATTTCCGTAAAACCAGAAACCATGTAATGTTAAGAATGTGTCTCTTATGTACTCTAGCAGCTGACCAATAATCTGTTCTCTTTTTCGAAGAATCCCAGTCTTAAGCAACAAATAGAATGATAGGATTAGAATACCACATTATTCACTTGCCTTATCCTACAGTATTTTTATCCCACACAATCTCAGAATAACAACACTAACACTGCCACCAACATGATCATTATAGACAGTGTAAGATGATTTCTGCAGTTCTCTTTTTACTTTAGGACATATCCCATTAGAAAAATACACATTGTTGAACTTTATAGCAATAAGAATAGTTCGCTGTATTGTTATGGTACCAACTGGATATATATTTAGGTATATTTTTTTAAGATTGTTTTATTTTATAATTTAAAAAATATTTAAATGACTTAAGTTTTGAGAAAGCAATGACACCTTTCTGACAATTCTTAGAATGCCATTGATAAAGGGGCACTTTATAATATCAAAGTTAAGTTCTAGATACCTTTTTATGTATATTGTCTCCCCAACTAGACTATTATCTTGTCTTCAACTCTTATCCTATCAAACAACCTAGTATAATCATATGCCAAAGTTTTCAAAAACTTTACTGTATGTAACTTGATTTGTTGCTTTGAAATAGCTCATTAAGCATTTATATACTATTTTTCCCCCCAGAAAAATATTTCATGAAAGCAGTCTGAATGAAATTAGGAAAATAAAGCATCTGTTTGGCCTGAGCCAATTATATCAAATACATTGTTTTAGGACCTCATTCTGGATATAAGTAGATAAAGCTTATGGTAGGTTCAATAATGGTCCCCCAAGATGTGTATGTCAGAATCTGTGAATGTTGCCTTATATGACAAAAGGGAGTTTGCAGATGTGATTAAGGATTGAAAATGGGTGGACATCCAGGTGAGCCCAATGATCTATATCAGGGGTCCTGAAACTTTTTAAACAGGGGGCCAGTTCACTGTCCCTCAGACCGTTGGAGGGCTGGACTATAGTTTAAAAAAAAAACTATGAACAAATTCCTATGCACACAGCGGCAGCAAAAACACCCGGCGGGCGGGATGTTTTCGGTGGGCTGCATGTGGCCCGCGGGCCATAGTTTGAGGACCCCTGATCTATATTATAAAAGGCCAGTGGCTATAATGCCATAACCAAACGACCAGTCACCAGGAGGTGCATTGATGGGTCTTGCAGCGCGGTGGGGGTCTGGGTCTCATGTGATTTCGCACGCTTGGCCTCTAGTATATATATATATAAAAGCCTAAGTGACCATTATGACCAGTCGACCGAACGAGCAGTTGACCGAACAAGCAGTCGACCAGTTGCTATGATGCGCACTGGACCCGCAGCCGGCTGGCCCTGATAGGCCCCAATTGCCGGCCAGGCTTGAGGGACCCCACCTGTGCACGAATTCATGCACCAGGCCTCTAGTGTCTTTATAAGAGGGAGCAGAGCTGGCCCTGATAGGCCCCAATTGCCGGCCAGGCTTGAGGGACCCCACCTGTGCACGAATTCATGCACCAGGCCTCTAGTGTCTTTATAAGAGGGAGCAGAAGGAGACACTACAACCAAAGAGAGGAGATCATATGATAATGGAGGCAGAGACTGAAAGATACTAAACTTTTAGCTGTTAAGATGGAGGAAGGGGCAAAGAGCCACAGAATGCAGGAAATGCAGCCCCAGAAGCTCGGAAAGGCAAGGAATTGTATTCTCCACTAGAGTTTCATGAAGAAACCAGTGCTGTCAATACCCTGACTTTAGCCAGGGAAACTGATTTTGGACTTCTGGCCTCCAGAACATAAGAAAATCTTTGCTGTTTTAAGCCACTAGGTTTGTGGTAATTTGTTACAGCAGCAATAGGAAACTAATACAAAGCTTTTGACAAGTTTTATTGTGAAATATTAGATTTAGAAAAAAAGTACAAAATGTCAACAGTTGGATGTGTACAAGTACAGTATTTTAAGTCTATACATGTGAACAGCTTAACAGGTTCACCTCAGAATGCATATTTAGACCAATACAATCTAAAAAGGACTGTAATATTCACAGGCTATTAATACATAAATAGCTTGAGCCAAAATGATCCACACTGGTAAATGCTAATAGCTGAAAACAGGCTAAAAAGCACAATACAGCACACCATAGTATCTCCTTACGGGTCCACATTTAAAGAATATCAGCTCATTATGTCAATACGCTATAGATCCGGGACTGGGACTCCAATTGCTAATACAATTGAAATAATTTTAAGTGATAAAATAAAGTCATGGGATAAAGAGAGGGCATTTAATTAGTGCTAAATACTGTGAAACCCCTAAAAGATTTTAGCAAAGTTTAATTATTTAGATTGATTTTCAATTTTCAATGTTACCTAAAAAAGTGGGAAGGGGCACCTTTCCTTTGCAGCAGCTCCAAAAAAGGTGTAAGAACTACTACACATCTTAATTTAAAACCATAATAACCACAGTGGATTGTCAAATGACTATAATCAGAATATAAAATATTAAAATCTGTGATAAGGAGGCAGTATCTACCATTGTTCAAAGTACTGAAATTTATGAAGAACATTACATATAAGGATCTCATAAAAATAAACTGGTTTAGTTCTTCCAAGTCTTACAGATTCAGTTTTTTGCTATCACTTGAAAATTACCCTAGATTATGTTTTCAAATTTGGCAAGGAATTATTTTATATTACTTTATAGACCATAGGAATAATCTACTGAAACATGAATCATATTACAATTACAATTATCCTGTGTTCTGAGAAAAGATGACCTTTGATGAGATTCATAATCATTGCTTGCTTAAAAACAAAACTTTCCAAAATTGACAAATTTAATAATCAGTTTACTTCAAACAAATTTACCCTGCTCATAAATTCCTAAGAGAAAGAACTCTTCCACTCTATCCAATATATCTAGCAATGCCTGATGCTTTAAAATTTAAATACAAGTCTGAACTGGCATATATTAAGTAGGCCATCAATTCCATTACAGGCTGAAAACAGATGGATCAGAATATAATTAGTCAATAACTTCCCATAACCTATCCCACCCTACCTTAACCTTTTATAGACAATTTAAAGACTCTTATATACTTTTCTTATAAATAGTACCTGAATCTTAAACAAGATTCCAATTTATTCAAAGATAGTCACAGATTGATTTAAAAGTTATTTAATTTTTTCCAGATTTGCTTTAAAATTACAAATTAAGTATGGTGTACATAAATATTAACTTAGATAACCACATATTATAAGGAAAGCATATATATGGACCACTGCAGAAAAATTATAAATTTTTAAATTTTTTATAAAAGAAAAATAAATCAAAACATGTAACTTATAAAATATGAACATGAAGCCATATCACATAAAAATAAAATTACTCTATCAGAAGTGATTTAAAATTAAATCTTTGGGAAGTATTTTGACTAATTCAATGAATTCAATGACCAACAACTTCCCATATTACACAGAAACAAACCACAAAATCATCTAAAGTTTATATGCATAATCAGTTCTTAATGCAACCTCAAACATTTTACTAGCAAGTTTGATTTCCTTTTGAAATAGGCTCCTATACATATGCATTTATATACAAACATTTATTAAACATGATTTTAAAACAACTATGTACAAAAGATCAACATTCCTATAAATAAAAACATTAGGTGGCAAAAAGGCACTTGTAAGTAAAAATCCACAGTTTATACAAAACAAAACACATTTTACCTTGGGTACTGTACAATAAACATTAATTCCTATACCGATAATGAAAATACTAGTATACTAACTAATGTTAATTATGTAAATTTAAAAACATATTTACATATTCTCTGAAGTTCATTTAATAAAAGCACCATGATTCCTAAATTAATGTTGATGCAAAGTGAAAAAACAATCACCAAAAAAAAAACAGTGTTCACCATTTTCCTTGTTTAAAAGCTTTTGTATTTCTAAATTGAAAACTGTTTATTTGAAATTAGCATGGTGTAAAACAAAAAAACAAAACAAAACCCTGCTGCTATGATTTCTTAAAACCATACCTACTCTATTATTGCATGTTACATTTTATAAAAAGCACTACTCATGCACTCCTTTACAACTGTTTAATACTATTGCTGGCAAAAAAGTTCCTGGATATCAAATAATATAAAGTTACTTCAAACCAGTTGAAGTTTTATTTGGATGTTTTACAACTTAAAAATGCTTATCAGTTACAAAAGTGAATAGGAAATATGCCAATTCATTTGGTGTGCAAAAATATTTTTTCACTACACAGAATTTAAGGGCTTTACTGAAATTTTTTCAAATTTACATTTTCAGCAGAAACATTAAATCAATAACTTTCTCAAGGGGATGTTAGTATACTTCCACTTTTGTCAAACTTTTTACCCTTTGACAATGCAGCAACCTGTTTGAGTAGTTCTCTGTTTTTGGCCTGTGGGAGACAAAAACATTTAAAAGATTTAAGATTAACAATATTTGAAATATTAAGACATGCTGAAGACTACTACTTAATTAATGCTTTTTTTTTCACTTACAGAACAATATTTCATTGAAACACTAACAATTAAATAAGAGTACACTTACATTCATCTCTTTAACTATGGCTATGTAGATGGAAAATTATAGACTGGTTTGTAAATGTCAATATAATTGTTGTCTAAGGATATAATCATTTTAAAAAAACAGGCAACTTAGAGTGAATCTGCTTAAAAGAGAGTCAACATTTTATTTTCATAGATTGACGCTCAACCACTAAGCCACACTGGCAAGGGCAAGAATAAACATTTTAAATAGAAAAAAAAAGTTTGGCTCTTAATCATATAAACATGAAGTGAAAAGTTTTATTTTATGATGAATAAGATCAAATGACTCAAGTGATGATCTGGAAGGAGTATTTCCCTACGAAATGTACAAAGCCTTTTATTTTATGCTCACCAATTAACAGAACAAGCTGAAGAAGTCCTTTTTGCAAAATGTTGACTTTATTACTTTGCCACAAAGACTCTAAGCTTAATGATATTCAATACTTAAAAAAATACCCATCAGAACCATCCTTCCTAATCTTATTTTTGTTCTTTTAATTGCCAAACATTTTGTGCTGGCTTTGATATAATTGGAGCAGATATATCATCATTTTAGTTTCATTAAAGGGTGAAGTTTTTTTTCAAAGATTCAGTATTCCACATTGTCATCGATCTGAACTGAATTTGCATTTCATTCAAATGTTGCATACACCACTGACAAAGTCACTATCCTTGAGCCAATGTGCTGTGTCATATTTTGACTATCTCCCTATGTAATCTCCTGACTATGGAAATGTAAATAATGACTCTCCATATATACAAGTACGTTAATGATCAGATCCTTTTGGAGCTTTTGAGCCAAAATGGGGAGAGTGCCGACAATAGTTTGAAATCTGAGCACTGTCCTAAAATAACAGAATTTTAAAAGATATCCTCTGGTGATATTTCCAACCATTTCCCTTCACAAGTCTCAAGAGTTCTTATTATTTTAGTATATGTGCTGCCGAAACGAGCACAAGAGTTCTTATTATTTAAGTAGACTCCATTTTAACCTCAGTGCTTCATCTTCTACTCTAACTTTAGCCTTTCTATGGTAACATAACACCCTGCCTTCCCTGCATACCATCTTAAAAGCAGTTTCATGAAACAGAAACCTTTGCAGGCTTTGTGCTTTCACTCCCCCACTCTTTTCCAATCAAACTCTCCCTAATTAATACCTATGACCTCCAAAATGCAAATATTCTTAGAGCAATCTTTATTTGTAAATCAAAAGTTTTTTTCATGTTTGACTCCATAATTAACAGCATTTCTCTGTTCTTGGTTGTTAAATATTTAAGGTGGTAATTAAGAATTTCAATTTCAAATTTAGAAAACCATCAAGAATTTAAAAGGGCCCTGACCGGTTTGGCTCAGTGGATAGAGCATGGGCCTGTGTCCCAAGTTTGATTCCAGTCAAGGGCATGTACCTTGGTTGCGGGCACATCCCCAGTAGGAGGTGTGTAGGAGGCGGCTGATCGATGTTTCTCTCTCATCAATGTTTCTAACTCTCTATCCCTCTCCCTTCCTCTCTGTAAAAAATTGATAGAATATATTAAAAAAAATTTTTTAAAGGATTTTTATTTTTCCTTAAAACTAAACAGTTGAGAAATTCAGAGGACAAATCATTAAGAATGCCTGACAGTGATCAGTGATCATGATTACTCAGCTGACCAGTCCTAGTCAAATGTAGATTTTAATTGTTTTCTTCCTTTCTTTTTTTAAATTTTTGAGGTGACATCTATAATAATAAAAGCGTAATATACCAATTAGACCGGACAACCTTCTGAACAAAGCCAGGGCTGCAAGGGCTGAGACGGCCACCGTGGCAGGCGGGCGGGGGCCAAGGCAGAGGCAGCCGCCACAGTGGTGGAGGCCGAACCCCTTGCACAAATTTCGTGCATCGGGCCTCTAGTTGGTTAATAAAATTATTATATAGGTTCCAGGTGTATAATTACAATTCTATTACAGATCATCTGAAAACTCCATTGTGTGTTCACCACCCAAAGTCAAATCTCCTTCCAACACCATATATTTGACCCCTTTTACCCCTTTACTAACTCTTCCCCACCCCCTTCCCTCTGGTAACCATATTGTTATCTGTGTCTATGAGTTGTTGTTTGTCTTGTCTATTCATTTGTTGATTCCAGTTTTATATCTCATATATGAGTAAAATCATATGGGCCTTGACTTTTTCTGTCTGACATTTATTTCCTTAGCATAATATTTTCAAGAGTGATCCATGTTGTTGCAAATGGCAGTATTATTTGTTAGCTACAGATTTAATTTATAACTGAAATAGACTTACTGGCCAAAAAAGAAGTATCTTAAGAAAAAAATTTTAAAATACAAATTTATGAAGAGCATGAAAAAGGATATGTCTGCAAATTTGCTTCAAAGAGATCTCTATCAGATCTGTAAGTTATCCTATATAATAAAAGCCTAATATGCTAAGTGTCCAGTCATCTGGTCAGCCATTCAACCAATCAAAGCATAATATGCTAATGATATGCTAAGGCTGCTCAACTGCTCACTATGATGTGCACTGACCACCAGGGGGCAGATGTTCTAACAGGTAGATTAGCTTGCTGCTGGGGTCTGGTTGATTGGGACTGAGCAAAACAGGCCTGACAGGCTCTGGAGCCCTCCCACGGCCCCTCCCCTGCTGGCCAACCTCCTGCATCCCTCCCCGGCCCTGATTGTGCACCGGTGGGGTCCCTTGGCCTGGCCTGTGCCTCTTGCAGTCCAGGACCCCTCAGGGGATGTTGGAGAGCTGGTTTTGGCCTGATCCTGCGGGTCAGGCTGAGGGACCCCACTGGTGCATGAATTCGTGCACTGGGCCTCTAGTATTTATATAAAAGCATAACAAATTATTAAAAAGTTAATCTTTAATTTTTTTCTCTCAATCAAGAAAAAAATGAGTTTATAATTTTCACATTTTAACACTTGGAGTGTGGGAAACGAGTTAAGTCGGCTCGCGTGAATTGCGCGTACTCCGCGGGAGCCGTCTTTAACTCGGTTCATATAGATTTGCGGTGGAGTGCGGGAAACGTGTAAACTCGGGCCGATTGTAACTGCGTATTACCAAATATTTGTTTGTAATCCACCCTTTTGGTGGATGGAACAAAACCAAAAGACAGAGCCATCTTATATTTTGGCGGGAAATTCACCCGCACTCCAAGTGTTAAGTATGAAATAACAGAACTTAAAAATTCAGTAATGATAGCAATTTTTCCTTTTTAATTCTATAGCAGCTAATTTTCAATCTGTACTTATATATTCAGTCTCCTAATCATGTCACTAATAAATTCAATTGCCAATAAATTATGTTAAAAAAAATGCCTTCCAGAAAAATAAACAGTACATCAGTTGTTAAATGGAGACAAGCCTCAAACTGTCTATTCTAATATAGGTAGAAAAATATATTTTATAATGCAACATTTAAATATAAGCACTCAAAATTTATATGCTAATATTACTTCTTTATTACACACCCTAAAAAATCCATTACATTATTTTAAAACTCTTAAGCAAGTTAAGTTACAAATGTTTAGAAATGCTGGCCTAACTGAAAGGTTATCTGGAGTAGGAAGCACACATATCCTGCTTTGAATCCTAGCTCTGCTACTTATCTGCTATGTGGAGTCTATTTTTTCACAGGTAAACAGAAACTTCACCCCCCCATTACAGGAGTTGAAAGAACTAAATCCTATTAATAAAAGTCTAATATGCTAAGTGTCTGGTTGACCAACCAACCAAAGTGCAATATGCTAATAATATGCTAAGGCCACTCAACCGCTCGCTATGACGTGCACTGACCACCAGGGGGCAGACAGCCGAGTGGTCGACCAGTCGCTCCGACATGCACTGACCACCAGGGGGCAGATGCTCCAACTGGTAGGTTAGCTTGCTGCTGGGGTCCAGCAGATCAGGACTGAGCGAGACGGATCAGACATGCCCTGGAGCCCTCCCACGGTCCCTCCCCGACCCCAATCGTGCACTAGTGAGGTCCCTCGGCCTGGCCTGCACCCTCTTGCAATCCAGGACCCCTCAGGGGATGTTGGAGAGCCGGTTTCAGCCCCATCTCACAGGCCAGGCCGAGGGACACCACTAGTACACGAATTCAAGCACCGGACCTCTAGTAAATATATAAAACACTTAGCCAAACACAGTAGCTCCTACATAGTAGGCACTCAAATGTTAGTACTCTATCCTCTTTCATCAACTCCTAAATGAAAGGCAGCTGCTTTCATTTGTTATTCTTGATATTTTAGAATAATTTAGGGTGTTTGTGGGTGTGTGTTTTTGGTATTTTGTGCAATTTTTTCTTGTTATGCTCAATGCTTTTTTTCCCAGATTTGATAGTTTAAAATGTTTTCAGAGCTATTAGAGTAAGGTAAATTTCCTGCTACAGGGTTCACTTTCTTATCACAAAAAGATAAGACAAAGAGTTAACTATATTTACTCACCTACTAGTACATGGTTGCTAAAGGGAATGGGATTAAAAGAGGGTATTTAGCTGTAATAGAATGACTCCAGATATGGGAAAGTGGTCTGATAACAAGAATGAAACAGAAAATCTAAGTAACATGAGATGGTAAGAAAACTATAGAACAGGAGAAAGTACAGTCAAATCAAAGTCAAAAAATACAGGTTTCTATGTCACTTCCGACTAATTATGTGAACACAGTTTCATACCACATAACAAAGTTATCTTAAGGAGCAAAAAATGATAGACTATGTAAACTCACATTGAAAATGTCATACTTCTATATAAATATTAGTCATTATTCTCTCATATGAAAACTTAGCTATCAATCAAGAGGTAGGCTTAAGATGCCAATCAGGCTAAAATGACAAAGATAGTAAATATAGTAAATACTGTAAATACACTAAAAAATGAGACAATGAGTTGCTCTTTTGAACAGAAGTACTAAGTTTTATCATATTTAAATACCGCTCACAGTTTTTCTGTTACTTCATTCTGGATTAACTCCAGAGTTTTGGTTATACCACATTAAATCAGATCAGAGATCATCATACAGAAGATTTTGTTCCCAGGTAATCATTCAACATTAATAACTGAATGAGAAAAATAAGAGTAAATAAAAATAAAAATAATAAAAATAATTAGTGAACATAGTTCACTAAAAATAAAAATAAAACTAATACTTGCTGGTGATGATAAACAATAATGCATAAGAAATCTAATATATGGGCAATCTCTCAGGACAGAGGGAAAAGGGGCAGTTCCATAAATCACCACGCATTCAAAGAATTACCTGAATGCCTATTATGTGCCAGGTTCCATGCAAGATTTCTCTTCAAAATTCTTTGTAATAGTACAAAGAATAAGAGTTAAGAGTAGAGTAGACAGAGATAAGAGTAGACAACTTGTACTTCAAATTTCAACAGGTTTTCCTAAATCTAATTCTAATCTTACACAATTTAAGCTATTTATGAAGAATACAAAGCCAAAAGATAGACACAGCAAATATTCTTTGGTGTTGCATTGTTTAAAACAAAAAACAAAAAATAGTGCAAAATCCTTACTTCCCAAGCTGCACTCTCCCATCAAGAGTCTAAAGCTGTGTGATGGCATGTGCTATGCTTTTAAAACTTCTGAAAACCCTGTTACCCAAAGATTAATTCTACAATGAAAGACCATAAACCAATAGGATATGTAATTAATTTAATGTGGTCTGATTTCTAAATTTATGAAATCTAGATGAGAAAAAGCTTGGATGCTCTCCATCTCAGTGTGCCAGACATCAGATATTACCTTCTTTGTAACTGTGGTGACTCTTGGCTTCATCATTCAGTTGTTTGCTATATAAAAATCCTACTGAGTATATATACTTGTCAGTATTTTGAGATTGACCTAGTGCCTTACACCACTGCAAACAATGTAAAGTTCCTCCACTTGAGGCCCTGAAAATTAGTTTTCTACACCCATCTCCCTTCCCATTATGTGGGAGGAAATAGGAAGAATAATTGCACAATGTACTAAAGACCTTGTTTTCACATATCCAATATTTAATGTTTTGCTTTACAATGATCACTGTAATGCCATCCTCCTCTAAAAATTTCATTTGATGTTTAGGCAAAAGTTTTCAAAATTAATATTGAATCCCCTATTGAGTAATTTCTTTTAATGGGAGTAGGATTAAGCAATAACTTTTAATGGGTGTAGGATTAAGAACTATTGTGAAATCTAAATCAAAGCTGAAAATGCACCAAATATGCATAAAACAGGGATACCAATACCCATCAAAGGCAATGGATACTATTAACAAAGTTTAGCTTTCCTCGTCTAATAGTTTATATAAATAATGTCACTTACCTGAAGTTGTTCCACAGTTTCTTTGTGAGCTTTTTCCATACTGTTCATCTTTGTTCTCAAGTTTGACTCTTGGTACTGAAAGTCTGCCTTTAGTTCAGTTAACTAATAAAAACAAAAAACACCATATATACATATATGTGTGTGAGATCATTTTAAATATTCTTTACAATAAACTCACAATTCATTATAAAAATGGAAGATGTTAACAATGGCTTCCTGAGTCTTATAACGTATCTATAATTTCTGTTTTGTGAAATGATGTCTACTTTAGTATAATTTTAATGTTAAAATAATATTAAACCATCACTTAAACTTTTGAAAAGTTGCCTTTTTGTTTCTATTAAGGGCTTCAGCCCAGCTAGTGTGGCTCAGGGGTTGAGGGTGGATCCAGGAACCAAGAGGTCACTGATTTGATTCCTGGTCAGGGCACATGCCTGGGTTGTAGGCTGGATCCCCCACCCCAGTAGGCAACGTGCAGGAGGCAGCCAGTCAATGTTGTTTCTCTCTCATCAATATTTCTATTCCTCTCCCTCTAGAAATAGGAAGGCTGGCTCTAGAAATCACTAAATAAAGTGAAATAAATTCAAGAAAATAACTTGGTTGTCTTAGATTTACATTTATAAGAAAAACTGCAAATATGTAACTACTTTAGACTTACAATTATTACTTTCCTTACATCACTGCTAATCCCCATACCCGTTAGTGTTTTTTAAGAAAAAAGGAACACTAACAAAAGCAGAAAACTCAATGTATGCACTAATATAGAATAATTAGGCTAGGAAAAGGAAAAGTAGCTAAAAAAGTCAAAATTCCACAATTCATTACTACTTGGTTTTGGAATCATTATTATAGTAAACTTACCATTTTATTTAACCTTTATCTGGGTTAATACAGATATACCCATCTTAGTGCAATAGAAATGTCTCTAAGATTTTGAGCATGAAACAAATTTCCATAAAAGCCCACTAATATAAAAATCCTGCAATAAAAAAAGACCCCAAAAAATAAGACACTTACAACTATCCTATTTTTCTATGTCAATCCTAAATTTCCTATACTGAATTTGCTTAAAATAAGGTACAAATGTATTGAAAAGAATTTAGATACGCTAAACCATCAAGGTGTGGGAAAATGTAACATTAAAGTTGTTGAATGCCAGAGGAAAAGCTAGCTCAAACTGAAGCACTACTATAGATACTTAGAAACAGGTAATTCATGTACATATTTATAATCTATATTATAAAAGGACTGTGGCCCTAACGCTGTAACAACCAAAGACTGGCGTGAGTGGGTGGGGCTGTGTGATTTCACGCACTGGGCTTCTAGTCAAATTATAATTTTAAAATTAATGTTTGTAATATTTTCCTACTGCATAAGATATCTGAAATAGAATAAACTAGTCTACGACAATAAAACAAGTACAAATGTAGGTTCTACCCTCAAAGATGACAGAGTCTCTATTGAGTCTTAGAACAGTAATAGCAGTATGAGCACTTACTCATGCAAGGAGCTGTGGTAAGAACTTTACATGTTCATTTAATAGTAACAACCATCCCATGAGATGGCATTAACACTATCATTTTTAAAATGAGAAAATTGAGATCCAAAAAGGTGAAAACATTCCACTCAAGTTCACCCAGAGAGTGTCAGAACTTTTCACTAAATAGGCAACATATTTTGATATTCTTTTTGATCTGATAAACAAAGTCCCATAAATACTTCCTTCCTACAAAATGATTTTAGACATGTAATGCTAATCACTGACTAAAACACAGGAAATTACCACAAATTTACTTTCACCAGTTATTTGATCTTGACTGAAATAAATACATGATTGGATTATCACCAACTATATTCAATTGCTTTCTTAAATCGTAAGAATTCACATAATATACCATATATATCTCATTTTCAAATTAATACATTAGACCTATTTTAAATTACAGGCTTACTGAAAACTAATGTTCAGAAATTATTACAATTCTAATTAGCTCTCTATTGACTCTTAGAACAAAAATTCTGAAAGACTATTTTATCTATCTTCACTAATGGCTTAGGTTCCAATTTGGGCTTTTGTTATGTGTCCTACAAGAATCATGTATAACAAACATTACCAATTATTACAGAAAGTCTAATAAAATTCACATTTATCAAGCAAGAGTCAAAATGTAAGTTTTACCAGGCTTCAGTGAACCATGTACTTACCTTTTTATCTTTTTCTAAAATGGTCTGGTCTCTCTGCTGTAAGAGACGTTTAAGTGACATCACTTCTTCTTTCAGTTGACTTATAAGGACAAAATTGTCTGTTCCCCCACTATCTGCTGACTGATTTATAGAGCTACTAAAAAGAAAAAAGTAAAACAGAGTTAAATGAAGTAGAAGGAAAATAAGCAAGTGTTCAAATTGCATAAATTAGACAATTCCACAAACATCCTTAAGGCTAATGCAAAAAAATATGTACCTGACAGAAATGGATGCAACTGGCAAATTACCTTACTAATGGCACACATTACATACACCTGCAGAAATATAATTCAGTATTAGCTTTTAGGGGGTCAATACTTCTAGTGTAAAGCAATAGGCAGCCAATTTGTACAGTAACATCAGCAAACTTTTGGCTAATGAACTAAAACAAAGTCACGTTCATAATATTTTACATCTAAAAACATTTTCCAAGCAGGCCAATTTAAAATATCACAATTAGATTTGTGTTTCATTGAAGAATTATTAAGATAAAAAGAATGTTCTCTATTCAGATTTGTTTTCCTTTTTTCAAAACCCAAATTTATTTCCCAAATAGAACAACATAGTTCAGTGCCACTTTCTTATTGCCAAAATTAAGTTAAAATTTTTTAACTGTTATGTTTACTCTTCTGGATGACTCAAAGAAGTCAATGTAGAAGATACATGTTTCTGTTCTTTCACCTAGTAGTAACTGGCAATCAACTATAACTGTTTTCAACTAAGTTGGATTTTCGCTAAAGGAATTCAGTTTTACCTATCTCCATTAGATGGCTTAGATTCCAATTTGGGCTTTTTCTTTGGAGTTTCATTCTGAATTGCTGCAGAGGATTTATGGCTGAAACCAAACATTAATAAGAATAATTAGAGGAAAAAGGGCTGAGGCACCAAATGATAAGTTATTTTTCTTCCCCCCAAATATTACCAAACATCATTGATTTTTTTAAAAGCCTAAGTAACAAGGTTAATGGGAAATCGCATTTAAAAAATACTTTTCAATATACTTCAGAAAATATGTTAACACCAGAGGCTGGGTGCACAAAATTTGAGTGGGGGGGGGGTGGCGAGGGGGAACGCTCTCCAATCCAGGACCTCTCGGGGGATGTCCGACTGCCTCTTGCAATCCGGGACCAATGACTCCTAACCGCTCGCCTGCCTGCCTGATTGCTCCTAAATGCTCCCCTGCTGGCCTGATCACCCCTAACTGCCTCTGCCTCGCCCTGCACCCAGGGCCCAGGATTCCCTCCTCTGGCCAGTCGCAGGCATCTGGGACCCGGGCTTCCTTCCCTCTGGCCGGCCGCAGCCGCAGGGGACTATGGGTGGGCAGCTTTGCCCGGGCCGCAGGCACCCGGGACCACAGGGCGGGTGGCTTGTCCCTCTCCTGGGCCGCAACCTGGCTGGTCCCCATTCCTCTCTCACCAGTGTTGAGTGTCTGAGCCATTATGGCGTGACGACCATTTGCACATTAGCTCTTTATTATATAGGATATTTACCTCTGTTTCCACAGTCCCTGCTCTTGTTCTGGACTCAGATTGCTGATTCTGAAAAACATATAAATGGCATCTAATAACAACATTTATTTAATACATCTACATTTAATAACATTCTTCCCAATGAATTTACACTATATATGTTTATTATAATCTCTTGTTCAGAGAAAGGCATATTCAATTAAGCAAATATATATTGAATAAATCACATTCTAATAAGATGCATTCTAATCGGATGACTGCTAGTCATCTTAAGTTCTTCAAAAAAGGTACAAAGACAGGGACTGAATTTTATTTTAATGAGGACCTCCAAATTCAATTTACTATCATACTAAGGGTGGGAGGATATGACCATGAAACACCACAAAAGGGATTTATAATTATAAACTCTGAGAATCATCATACTTAGGCTGCCCTTACTATTTCAGATAGATTTCTACCTTTAGAGTCAGGGCTTCCTAATAATCCTACATGAAGATTCTTCCTTTGGAGTAATTCAAGTTGCTCAAAATAGTGTATCAAGTTGAACCAGGAAATATCTTAATGTCTTTGTTTCCTTCCTACTTTTTCTAAGAACTCTCTCTAAAGTCTCTAGATCTTTCTTTAATCAGTACTCTGAAGAAGTCATCTTGAAATATTGGGAAATTTCATATAACAACTGATTTAACTTTAACTTATAATTAGTACTATACCACTTCTCTTTCATTGTGCCATAGTATCAATATAACCACTTCATAATGCACTATGAAGCCTACAAACTTCCCCCTTGTCCTTGCACATTAGCCAATTCTTCATTAACCCCTAGTTTACTGACTCAACATGTATAGAGCATCTACTACGTATATATTTATACAATAAGAGATGTAGAAGCCCTGGGTTGTGTGGCCTTTTTCAAGGTACTTAAAATTTCTTAGTTCCCTCATCTATAAAATAGGTATAATACATCTGAGGATTAATGAGTTATTTGTGTATGTATAGATATATATGTATATATCTATACATACACACACACGTCTGTGTATAAATTTTTTCTATTGTTTTAGTCTATAAGTTTGTTTAAGCAAAAGTAAAAAACAAATCATGTTCTTAAAAATCACTTCTAAGTAAATATCATCTAATCTATATACCTGAGTTTTTCCTTACATGTGGCAATGTATGGCAACCCTAAGAAATTCAGTTGCCATTTTGTTTATTTTAAAAAACTTCATTAGTAGCAGTAGCAAACCATAAAATCTCATGTGAATTAATGGCACTATCCAGATTTCAAAGTGAGAACTATCATATTAATAATGATTAAACTGAAATAGAATTCTCATCCTCACTTTCTGAGGTAGGCCATTTCTGGATCCAGATTGACCAGAATTTCTTCCCTTCCCCCCTTCCATCACTGTATTTCACAATATGTATGCTCCTCATAATTTTTCTAATCTACTGAACTTAAGATAGGACCCCACAAACTGGTTAGTTACATGTCAAAGGTCTATATCCATCAAATACAAAACAGCATTTGCATTTCTTAAGAATCAAAAGGAAAAAAAGTCAATCCCATCCTCTTTCCCTTTATTTTTGAAACCTGTGATTTTTAAAAGATTTAAGTTCTGGTCATAGAATTTGATCTTATAAGCATACTCTGAGTGTGTCCTTTCATATCACACTAAGACCAATTTATCTGTAAAGGACAAAGGAAAGGGACACTTCAGCTGAGTCTTAGGAGTAGGTCTGCTGGATACCATTTGTCATATTTTTTGTTAAAGCAAGAAACAGAAACAAGAAAGATTTATGTTCCTTTGCTCCTCGGGGTATTCTGATATAAAGACCACAAGATTTCTTCAAAATACCCAGATTAAAAGTCCCCATTTGGTCTAGCATTGTTACATCCAGAAAGCACAACACAGTAAGTAAGGAGAGTGGAAAAAATTGCTCCTGAAGTAAACAATATCATTGCCTCAATAATACCCCATTATCTAATATATACTTGCCTTGATTTAAAATCAAATTTTAATTAGAACCATGTTATATTTCCTATATATCACTAATTGTGTTCCTAATTCATGTTTCCTGTAAATAAAATTAAGTTTTGCCTATCTAGAACTTTAGTCTCATAGAGAAATTTGGGGGAAAAAAACAGTGAACTCTTCTGAAAACCTGTATATGATGTTCCTGTGTTCTCCATTTAAATGTGTTCGTGTTTCAATATTCTCGATTTTTCCCTGAGTAAAACCACACTTAAACATCTTTATAGTACAGACATTAAGTGTTAAGATATTACTACTATATAACTCCCCCCCATTTTAAAAATCAAGGAGTTCTTTATATTTGAATAGAGTTCCTATGTATTTTTTAAAAATACAGCAAAGTACCACCAGTTAAAAAAAATTACTTCTCACACTGAGAACTTTCAAGATTTCAAATGTTTCTATCATGGTCACTAATGATAGTGTTACAATCAGTTCTCAATAATATTGAATTTACATTTCCTACTCACTGGTTTAATTGTTTTTAACTAAAACAAATTAATGATAACAAAGGTAAATATAATTTTTACAAGTAAAGTCCTAACAATTATTTAAATAAAAATTTTAAAAAAGAAAGAAAATTGCCCCGGCCAGGTGGCTCAGTTAGTTGGAATGTGGTCACATACACCAAGAAGATTTCAGGTTCCATCCCCAATCGGGGCATGTACAAGAGGCAACTGATCGGTTTCTCTCTCACATGGATGTTTCTGTCTCTTTCTCTCCCTTCCTCCTTCCTCTCTCCCTTCCTTTCTCTCTAAAAATCCTTGGGTGAGAATTAAAAAAAGAAAGAAAATCGAGGCTTTTTTAAAAAAAAATCATCACCTGCAATCATCACTTATATTTTGACTCCATAAAATTCCCTAAATGTCCTATCTTTATTATAATGGTAAATAGCTAAACACAGTCCATGTGTACAAATTAAATACATTGAATAAAGTGGGGAAACAACTATAGACACTCAAGAAGTTTACCATGTACAATGGAAACCAGCACATAGCTAATATTTGGCATTAAATGCCTGGGAGGATTTTAAAAAACATGATTTCAAAGTACTTACTTGTGATGGCCACTGCTGTGACGATGGTGATGGTGATGATGGTGATGATGATGTTTTGAATGATGCTGGTCTTTCTCAGTAAGAGATGAAGATGATGAATTTGAATGGGAAGATCCCAGGCTCTTCCTTTGTTCTTTTGTCTTCTGTAAAACTCTTTTGTATGATAAAGTACAGAGCCAGCATAATAACTTTCCATCAACCTTTTTAAAGAAAAGATTTGTATTAGATTAAGTGTACCTATTAACTGGCCATAGATGAAACCAAGTAATATAAAGTGCTAAACTTCTAGCTGTATTTACCTCCCCCCACCCCCTTCTTCTCTCTTGCTTTTACACACACACACACACACACACACACACACACACACACACACACAGTGTTGCAAAATGGAAGTAAAATTTAGACTTTTCTGAAACTTGGGAAAATGCTTGTTTGGAGTCATAAAGTTGGTCATAAAGGATGATATCTAGACTTCTGTTAGTTTTGAGATATTGTTTACTTTGGAGAGAGAAACGTGTTTTCTTATTACTTTGAAAATTGATGATATATTTCAAAGAAATACTACCAAAACACTAACTTTAATTCTTAAATCAGTGTAATTACTAAAATAACTAAGTATTTTCCCCTACAGCAGAAACTATTAATTTATATAAAAAAGAAGAGCTTAAATAACATATACAATGATTCTCATTATTTGCAGATTTCACATTTTTATTTATTTATTTATTATTTTTTTAATTGATTTTTTACAGAGAGGAAGGGAGAGGGATAGAAAGTTAGAAACATCGATGAGCGAGAAACATCGATCAGCTGCCTCCTGCACACCCCCTACTGGGGTTGTGCCGGCAACCAAGGTACATGCCCTTGACCGAAATCGAACCCGGAACCCTTTGGTCCACAGGCCGACGCTCTATCCACTGAGCCAAACTGGTCAGGGCCAGATTTCACATTTTTAAATTCATCACCTACTTGCTGAAATTTAGACATAACCCTAAAGTCAACTTGCAGCACTTTCGTGATCATCCATGCACATGCACAGAGCAGCAATTTGTGTAGCTGGATGGCAACAGGCTGAGCAAGGTGACGATCTGTTGCCTTCTTTTAGCTCTCGTACTGTAAACAAGTGTCCTTCTCATGGTCTAGCAGTGCCATGTTTCTTTTCATTTTGGGCTTTTTATTAGTAATTTCACTGATTAAAATGGTTCCCAGGTGTAGTGATGTGATGTGTTCCTAAGAACAAGGCTGTGAAATACCTTATGCAGAAAATACATGTGTTAGATAAGCTTCATTCAGGCAGTTTTAATGCTGTTTGCTGTGAGCTCAATTTAATCAATCAACAATATATATTAAAGTGTCTTTAAACAGAAATATACACAAAACAAAACAAGATTATGTGCTGATTGCCACGTTGTGACTAGAGGCAGAAACCTAGTCCTATAATTATCCTTAGGAGCAATGGTTCAGTATTCACTAACTCAAAGTTTGCAGCAACTTTATAGACTACTAGAGGCCTGGTGCATGGATTTGTGCACCAGTGGGGTCCCTGGCCTGGCCTGCACCCTCTTACAATCGGGACCCCTTGGGGGATGTCAGATAGCCGGTTTCGGCCAGATCCCAGCAGGCCAGGCCGAGGAACCCCACCGGTACACAAATCCATGCACAGGAACTCTAGTATGCATATAAGATCTTTGGTTAATCTCTTCCCGCCCTCCCACTCCCCCCCTCCCTCCTCCCACCTGAGATTCATCAGTGTGTTCTGTTTCCATGCCTGTGCATTGAGCGTCTGCTCCCTGGTGGTCATTGTGCATGATAGCCACCGGCCAGTCGCTTAGGCTTTTATGTATATAGGTAACTACTACAAGTAACAAGAATCACTTGTACATGTCAAGGGGGAGGAAAAGAGACTTCTTTCCAAAATTATTAAGACTAAAACTATAAAAATAAATTAAGTTTCTAGCTTCTATTTGTTCACCCAAAAAGTGCTGGAGGAACATTTCTTCTAAGTAGGGTACATATATTGCTGTGGGAGCAGCTAGGGGAGCTCCTCAGTCACTTTCCAAGTCAACTGAAACTGACAAACAACAGGAGGCCTGTGTGAATGCTGATCAGAAGAATGCCACATGCATACACACACTTTTTACGTCACTATAGGTAGAGAAAAACAATGATTTACAATATGAGCCCCAAATCAAAGGCACAAGACTAACTTTGAATTACACATGTTAATGTGCCATCAGGTAGTTTTTCATACCAGTAACTTCAAATAACCAGCAAAAGTATAAGTAGCTGTAAGGATGTAAAAGCAGTAATTCTCCGAAACCAATTGTTAGATAACCAAGTAGTACAGAATAGCCATCACAGACTAGTTTTTAAAGTACAGTAATTTCAATTGATCAATATCTATCTACAAATGATGCAAAGAGAAGATGCACTGTTCCTACACTTTCATCTAACTACCTGCTTTCAGGGACCCAAAGAATACATCAAGTCTCACTAGTGTATTAGTTTTAATGACTTCCATTTGTTTGGTATTTTATTTAATTTCCAGAATATGTCATAACATAAATAAAACATACCTTCCTTCTTCCTTCCTCCTTCCGATCAAAAGCACATTGTTGTTTGCACTGTTCACAGGTCTGAGGTGGTCCATATTTCTTTTCTGAATTTGTGCAACGCTGACATTTCGTACCAATAAATGCTGCAATTATGTTACAGTACTGGCAAGGCTTAGGCTGAAAAACAGATATATATTTTTCTTAACTGAGACATTTAAAAATGTTAAAAATCTGCTGCACAAAATATACCCAATGTACAATTTCTGGAATTAAGAAAAATAGGTAAACAATTTTTTCTGTTAAATATAGGAAGTCCTCAGTTAACATCAATGATGTGACTTTAAGTGAAATAATGTATATGAAAACCATATGGTAAAATGTCATATTCAATGACATTCATAATGTTTATGATGTTTCCATTAATTTAATAAAATTTATTTCTAGTAATGAACTTTTTGTTACTCTATTGAATAGTTAAAAAAGATCATGAGAAACATTTATGATTTGCAATGTATGTTATATAATACACTAACTACAGGGGTAAAAGTTCTTAAAGAATGAAAATAGAAGTACACACTGATAGAAAATTTTCATGTATCCAGTATTTAGGGAATAAAGTTCTACTAATTTAATATCTTGGTTAGGTTAATCACTATACCATTTATTCAAAAAACATTTATACAGGTACAGATGATGCAGGGAATGTACACTATAGGTGAGTTTTCAAATTTAAAAAATTGGCATATGCATACCTTGATTTTCTTTTGATATTCAAAAAACAATTAAGGATTTTGTAGAACCTTAAGGCTTACACTTTGACTAGTCATGACTGTAATAGACCAATAATGGCTATAATATACATGATAAAAAAAATTTGTACTAGAATAATGTCATTACTTTTGTGAGTAAATGCCTGAATTGTGCTGCTATATAAAAATTGTTGAAGGTTCTGAAGGGAAAAAAACATGATTATGCCAACTTTATCGGTAAGTAGGTTCTCCATAACCAGTTTATTATATTTGAATCTTTAATGAATAAATTATATTTGAATCTTTAATGAATAACTTTCACCCTGTATTTTAATATATATAAAACATGCACATATGACTGTTTTTAAATATTGTCATCTTCCCCACAGACTGTCTACAGAAAATTTATTTCCTGAAATATTTTGACATGTTGAAATATTTAAGAACTACATATATATTTTAAAAGGTCCATCTTTATGTAAAACATTAATTGACCAGTGACAGTAACATGAAATGAAAATATATGACATACTTACCGTGCCAAACTGCTTCACATTTTGAGCACACTTCTTACAAATTGTATTAGTTTTGCTGAAAAGGAAATTGTAGGTGATCAAATTTATGCAGCTTTCAGAGATAACTGGCATGATGCTGATTTAAAACAGATAAAGAATACAACTTGCTTTAGTACTTAAAACTCACTCAAATAAAAACTAACAATTTTAAAAATATACAAACATAAGAATCTTTTTAGGGTTATCTATTATTCAAATTTACTCCTCTTCCATTACCTGAAGACAGTGATTGGTGTGCTGCAAGAAGTTTTAAAACATGCACTACTGACCTCTTTTCCCTTAGATTGCCAAATAATACAGCCAACACAACAATAACTGTCCAGTGTAAATGAAATAAAAATTTTGTTTGTCAGATAGGCAAAAAATATCTTTTTTGGTGTGCCGTAGAATTTTAATAATTAGTTTACATGTGCCATGAGATGAAAAAGGTTGAAAATCAATGACTTAAGATAAATGTTTTATATACATTTTCATTGTGCATTTTTGGTAAACAAAACAGTCTTAATGTTTGGTATCTTGTTGTAAAACCAACACCTGCCACTATTTATGCAGAGCATCATAAGTCAGTGCCTACCTAACCGCCCACTGGCCTTCTCCACTAGATCATTCCACACCAATTTATGAAGAAATTACTGTTCTTCTCTTAGGTTACTCTCTTATGTGTACTCTAAATTTCTAACAAGAACCATCCTATTAAAAAGTACTAGATTTCACTCTTGGAAGATAGTTGGTAACACTATAGACCTTCCCTCAGGTCCATGTCAGCACTAATATTGTGCCATATTTTTAGCTTAAGAGTACATGCTTATATTTGAATTTTTTGTTAGCAAGTCTATACATGTTCCATACAATAATTTACTTCCTCATGTTCAAACGGAAGTCTAGATAAACAATAACCATTAATTTTTTGTCAACATTCTCTCTTCCGCAACTTAACATTTAAGAAGCTAAACCATTTTTTTAAAAAACACCATAAATGTGGAGTTACAACCCCCAAGTATTCCTTACAGACAATATCTTTATCAAAAAGTGTTGTTATACAAACCTCTCTTGTTGAAACTCTGATCTGCAGTAAGTACATTTTACAATAGGATGCGCAATCCGACATTCCTGTAATAAGACAGTGAACTGATCAGTACCTACCTCAAAGTCCCAAGTTTCACTTTTCTGGTTTAAAATTATTATCTAACCTAGGCAATGTCTAAGACATTAATAAGATTTATTGGGGCGACTCATCATACAAGTGGTGTAATTCCTTAGGGAAGTCATGGGTGTCTTTGTCTTTATTAGATGGGGGTTGGGGGGGGGGGGGTCATGCTACTGATAAATTAAGAAAGCTGTCAGGGCCGACTTCCAGCACCGCTTAAATGCGAAACTACTCATTATTGTGCACCGGTGCTCACAGACAGCATCCCGGCTTTAAGGGGCTGGGAGGAGCTCCGAATCATAGAGCATTCTGTTCCCAAGCTAGTCGCTTCGCTTTCCTGGACAGGGAAGGAGGATGCCATCAGCTTTGCTGCTTCAGGTTCCTAGCAAGAAAGTGCAAAAACCGTCCCCTGCCTCCCGGTGGAAAGAGAGGCAAACCAGCAAAGGAGGGAAGGAAAAAATAAAAGCCAAAAAAAACCCAAACGAGATGAAAACATCTCCAGCCCAGGGTCTCTGCGGCACAGACAGGTGGCTGTCTCTCTCCGTCAGCCCCACCCCCGAGACCCCGGAATGTTGCCGGGGCCCGGACCCCTCCCGGGCCGTCCGGGCGCGGGCGGGACTGTCTTCCTCTCGGGGGCCTTTGGCAGCTGGCGCCCGGGTCATGCACTAAACGGGTCCCCGGGCGAGGGCTCCAGAGCCCCGCGGCGCCGGCACCGAGAGCGGGGCTGCAGTTCGGCGGGCACCCAGCTCCCGCGGGCTACGGCCGAGGACACCCCACCCGCCCGCCGCGCAGCGCCCACGGACCTTGCAGAGCTGCTGGCCCTGGGAGAGCTCCTCGAAGGGATAGCGCTGGGTACACTTGGTGCAGGCGTACAGGGCCGAGGCCGCCATCCTGCTCCTCGGTCTCCTCCACAGCCGCCCGCTCCGAGGCGGGGCCCTACGGGGAAGTCAGGCGCAGCCGCCGCCCGGGCCGCGGGCTCCTCCTCCGCCCCCTCCCCCTACCTTAAGCCCACCAGGGCCTCGCCCGGGGAAGCCCGAGCCCCTGCGGACGCCGCCGTCTCCCTCCGCCTCCACTTCCGCCCCAGCCCACCCAGTGACGCCGTCCCAGTCGCTCCCGCTCAGGCCCCGCTGGCGGCGGAGGGAGACGAAGCAGGTTGCTGGCTGCAGTTTAGCTGCGCGGCAGAGGATCCGCTTCCTTCTTGGCCCCCCTTCCCCATCCCTGATTAGCTGGCGGAGCTTCTGCGTCACTCGGCCGCTCCTCCCAACCCCTAACCCCGGCGACGCAGGGAGCTCCCACAAAGGGAGGAAGTCGCCGGCCAATCAGCGCCCAGCGCTCTGGGCGCGGGAAAGCCGCTTTAAACTCGCCCCGCCCCCAGGCCCGGGCCGTGGCGACTTCCAGCAGCCAGTCTGAGGTTTGGGTGAGAGCTCCCGGATCCAATTGGGCAAGGGTTCGCGAAGGGTTACGCTCCGCCTCCACGCCCCTTCCCTGGACTTGTATTGGACCAGATCGTCAAGCCCCTCCTCTTCCTATCTGCTATTGGCCAGAAGGTGAGTACTTCACCTGGACTGACGTCCCGGAGTCAAGCGAACGCCCTCCTTGGCCTTTAGTCCCAGAGAACCGGTGCAGTGTGTGAACTTCGCATTCGCTTTCATTCCTAACGGTCATTCGGGTCAAGTGCCTCAGGAGACAAAACACGACCCCTCGCCCACGTCTCCTCCGGGAGACGGCTCGCCCTCAGAGCTGTCTAGCAGCCACCGCCTTAGCGCCGTGGCGTTCTCGAATGCGCGCTACCTTGTGACGTCACCGGGAGACGAGGCGGATTCGCTCCGACTCCCGGAAGACGTCCGCCTTTTTGATTGGCTGTTCCGGACGCCCGTTAGTGCGTGTGGCCCGTTCCGTGTGCGCGCTCAGCGTGGGCGTCCCTGTGGGGGTGTGCAGTAGGGGTTTCCAGACCCGGCGCCAGCACCCTAGCGGCCCCTTCCATCTGGGGCTCGCTTAGGGTCGCCCTCAGCGGGCGGCTCCCGGATTTGGAAGGACGGCAGGAGAACCAGTCCGCTCCGGGGCTGCGGGGTCCGCTGGGCAGACGGGAAGATGGCGGCAGCGTCGGTCTCGACGACTTCAGGGTCTCAGTTCTCGGTAAGAAGCGGGTGCCCCGCGCCTGGGCCCCAGGTCGGTCGTGGCGCCTCTGCTTCTCTCATCCTTCAGAGCGTCCTCGGCCCCGCGTCTCCTCGCATCCCGGGGGGCGGCGGAGGGCGCCCGAAGCCCCGTGCTGCCTCCCTCCGCCCCCTGTTCCTCTGCGAGGCTGCACCCCCCCATGGAAACAGGCCCGGCCCGTCTCTATCTCCCACGCCCCCTTACCTTTAGCCTGGCAGCCCCGGGGCACAGCCAGGACCCGCTAGGATGACTGTGCCCACACCCTGAATTGCGAAAACATAGCTCAGTGGGTCACGTGGGTGTAACGGCCCCTCTAGGAATCTTGCCGAACCAGGTAGGCGCCCCGGCCGGCGGCTTCATGGCTGCAGTGGAATGGACCGCAGCCTGGAGTGCACACCAGCCCTTGTGGAAGCTGACTCCTTGGACCGCAGGGCCCCCGCTCCCGTCCTCCCGGTAGCTTCGTGCTTATCCTGCCCGGAGTTCGCGCCTCCTACCTCCCCTCTGGTTACTGACTTCAGCGTGTAAATGCCCGTTTGCAGAAGCCACACGGGGAGCTGGATGTTCATTATTGGTTTTGCCTCCGCGAGGGCCACCAGCCAGTTAGGTCCCTAATATTTGCTAATGGAGCGTCGAACATGCATTTTGGAAACCGCCGCTTTGGGAATATTGGAAATAAGCAGTAAATGGGAGGAGGCCCGAGTTAGAGCCATTATCTCTTAATTAGCAAATGCCCAGGGCCTCGCATACCTTTAGGGCCTAACCTTGTGGTTCTCAACCTTGGCTGCACATTAGAATCACCTGGGAATCTTTTTAAAATCCTGGTTTCTGGGCCTCATCCTCCGGCAATTCTGTCTCTTTGTTATGGGGTGGAGCCACAACATTAGTAACAAACAGAATTTCCGGAGGATGAGGCCCAGAAATCAGGATTTTAAAAAAATTCCTAGGTGATTCTAATGTGCAGCCAAGGTTGAAAACCACTGCTTTAGGCTCTGTGATAACACAGATAAATAGGATAGAGTCCGTATTTTGAAGCAGCAAAGCACTGAACAGGAACCACAGGTAATGAGATTTATTGCACTGTGGAGGCTGATCAATGCTACCTTGGAATAACCGAGGGAACAGTGATTAGCTGTGCTGCTTAGGTTAAATTCCTGGAAGGGAAGATGGAGCCAGCTGGATGATGAAGGGATTCTAAGTGCTTGTCACAAGTAGAGAGAAGAGAAAAAAAGGACCACAGGCATTTGAGGTTTGTGCCAAGAGAGTAGGTACTTTCAGTAAACTTGAAATAATTTGGGATGAGCAGTAGTAGTGTAGGGGTAGAGTCGTATTTAGATGAATTATAAAAGTAGGTTAAAAAAAAGGACTGGATAGTGAAGGAAGAAGACAGTAGAATATCAGGGTAAAGTTATCTCATAGAAGCAGATGGGGGAAAGTGTTCAGGGAATGTTAAAAGAGAGCAGTCACCTTGATAAAGACTTTTCCTTAGTTTCAGTTTTCAGTGACTATTGTTAGGGTCTGTGTTAATGAGACCAGAAATAACCTTCAGGGTTTCAGCTGAATGAGGGGAACAGGTTTGCAGAGGTCAGGGCTGATTAGGGAGAAAGAATGACTGAAGCAATTGGAATTCAACCAGGAATTAGGTCAGTAAAAAGGAAGGTAAAAGAAGAACCATTTGACTATTAGGAAGAAGTGTCACTAAGTAGGTGGATGAGATTATATAAGAATTGAGGTTCATTAAACTTAATTGGGATAAGAGGCTTTTCGCTGCTCTCAAAAACACCTGTAGTGGGAGACTAAGCAAGGAATGCTGTTATACAGGCATACCTTGGAGATGCCTTGGGTTTGGTTACAAACCATCACAATGAAACAAGCAGTAATCTTTTTGCCTGGGGAGGGTCTTACTTTCCATTTGTAAAAAATACCTCGCTGTGCAGTGCAACAAAGCAAAGCACAAATAATGAGGTATGCCTGTAAATGTTGACTTGAACTGCACACTGCCAAGACTATCCAGCTAGCAGTGGTACTGCAATGTGGTCTTTAAGGTAACCTGGTCAGAAACCTCATAGAATGTTTAATAGGAAAGCATATATATTTTATATACCAAGTTCAGCTTTAAGTGGATTCTAAATATCAAGAATACACTAAGGTTTAAATATCTACCACCCTTTACAAATCAAAACATGACCAACCTCCCTAATCACATTGAACCTGCTACATCAGAATGTCTAATTTGGAAATCACTATTTCTCAAAACAAAATGACAGTTTAACAGAAGAAATGGCACAGCTTAGATACTTTGTCATGTCAGAAATAAGGCTGGCATTTCCAACAGAATTTAAAAAGCATTTTAGCTTAAACATATGACCATAAAATATGACAACACAAAATGACCTTTTAAAACTACCACATGAAATCAGAAGGCTACTCATACTCAGTTTTCAGGGTTATGAACATTAACAATCACTTAACATTGATAAATCCAGCACGGAGTTAGCTATAGTAAATAGAGGTGCTTTGACCAGGCAAGGATTTTTAACAAGTAGATGAACAAATAACACAGTCTAGGAAGCAGCTACCATATAAATCTCAAAGGTAACATGGACTTAGTTGATACATTTGAATTGTTCTTTTAAGTATGGTAGCCTTTTACTTTAAGAGTAACACTTAGAAGCTCTTGTTACTAACATTTATTGAGTGGCAGTTTTGAAGCCTATCCCAACTCACTAGTGGAGAGCAACCGGAAAACAAAAATGATAGTACAGGTAGCATAGTCTTGTCCTTTTTATTTTCCTAGTAACCATAGTCAACACTTAGGACACTTGGACTTAATTTATAAGCTAATCTAATGGATCTCCTGGCCAGGCCTTTTACCCAAAAATGTTTTGTGAATATATCATAGATTTTATAACAATAAATATATAAAAGTTTATTTTTGAAGATAAAATGAATACTTGCATGCCCCTTTTTGCATTTTCCCGCTTCTTTCACACACAATCATACATACATCTTGAGATTATAATAATACAGCACGTGAAATCACTGGCGCCGTGGGTCTGGGTCTCCTGTGATTTCACGTGCTGGGCCTCCAGTGTCTTTCATAAAGTGGAGATGTTTTTTCTTACCCGTCAGGATTGTTGTGAGGATCAACCCAGATACTGGAGTGTAAATTGTTAGCTGCAATGGGAATTTGTGGTTTATGGGTGGTTATTTTTAGTATGTATGTGGAGGGAGTGAGCATAAACATTCTGCTTGAAGGATCTTTTGCCCTTCCATAGTTTTCAGGTGCCCATGATTGTATGGCATATGGCATTGAAAACAAGAAGAATAATTCACTTGAAATCTACCATCCTAGGTTACTGCTATCTTAGAAAGGCCTGTTGACAAGTTTGGCTCTTGGTTGACACCTATGAACTGAATAGTAAACAATTTCCTACACTGATATAAAACTTCAGCCTAAATGATGAGTGCCTCACTGTGCCTGAATTGTTTGTACAAACAATTTGGTTTATGCTGAACACCTGTTTTTTTTATGGAAGTCAGGAATGTGACCAGCCCCCAATAAAAACATGGCACTCAGTGTAACATGAGCTTTCTTGGTAGACAACACTTCACCTAAGTTGTTATTAGTTGGTGGAGGAATTAATTAAGCACATTCTGTAGAGAAATTTTGAAAGCTTGCACCTGATTTTCTAAGGTCTTCACCCCATGTTTCTTTTCCCTTTGCTGATTTTACTCTGTATCCTTTTGCTATAATAACCTCAACCATGAGTATAACTATCTGCTGAATCCTGTTAATCCTTCTAGCAAGTTATCGAACCTGGGGCTGGTCTTGGGAACCCATAACACTCATGCTGACAATAGTTGGAACCTTCCCCAAATTAAACTTCCCTAGATAACTAGGTAAGAACCAACCTTGTAAGCGGACATTTCTAAGGATAGCAGTTGCAAAGTTTGCTATTACCTCTACTTCTTATGACATTTGTGCTATTTGCTTTTCGATATAAATGAAATCAAAAGCTTTTATTGTCTTTCAGTGGGTTATAGCAACTTTATTGAATAGAATAATTCAGTTTCATAAACAGGTGTTTTTTTTTCCTGTTTTGCAGGGGAATTGTATAACTAATTTATTAACATTTATTCAGCAGATTTATCGAATGTCTTTATTAGAATTTAAGCTTTATTGATGATGACTGCTTTTACTATATCAGTTCTTTGCCAGCTGGGTGCCCTACAATTCAATTCACTTCTGGAACTAACTTCCTGGATATAGTGCAGACCCTATAGGGATTAGGTGCTACAAAATTGCTCCCACTTCAGTTGTCAGCTCTAAGTCCCAGATGTTCCCAATGCAAACTGCCCAGCCAACTGCAAATTAAGGAGTTACATTTAATAATTCTCCAGAATGACTCTCAGAACTCAGGAAAGCACTATACATATACTTACTGCTTTTAGTAAAAGATAGTACTGAGAAACAGGCAAATGGCAGA